TGGATGGATACATTGTTTAGTCATTTTGGTACTGGAATCCTGAAATAAAAAGTAAAAAGAACAATCACTTTTTTCTTAAAAGAATAAAACCTCCGTATATGCAATGCAGTCCCCAATGAAAGAAAACAACTGACCCGTTACCACACCACAATTTATGTGAACTACATGAAGGCGGGCTTGAACCCTCGGTCAGTAGCATAGGAGGGTCGAACCCACACCACTAAACCAAAGTAACCCTGACGAATCGTTGAAACATTTGGAATATTTTCGTTGCATAGCGCCGAGGCGTTTAAAACGAATAATTTCATCGTCTGTAAGAATCTACATCATAACGGCTAGGCGTACTGTGCGGGGGAAGACGGTAGGGTGCTTCGCTGTAGGCTGGGAGGGCTTTGAAATGACACTGTAGCGTTTTGTTTAACTAAGGTAAACAGCCAATTAGGGGCACCACAACAAGCTTTTCGTCTTGGACTTGCAACTATCGTTCTACCAAAAATTACAAGAAAAGCAGACGATCTTGTGAATTTACAGGACCATAGCATAATTTCAATCCAATAGAAGTAAAGACAATATGTATGAAATGTAATGTTCCTGCTGCATAATTTCACTTGCTTTCACTATGCATCATTGCCGAATCTCAAGCTGACTCTTATATAGTATCTTAAAGCTGGCCAATCATAATTTATTACGTAGAAATATGGGTGCCTCATTGGTCAGATTGGATGGCGGGGCGAATTGACAGTTTAACCTTACCTTAGTGCGTGCGACTAGTGCTGCAATGGAATTAAGGTTAACACGTAATGAAGCGTGCAACGCTTATAATAAGTTCAAAGACAAATGTGGTGCTGAATAGAGTTCGAAACAAACGCCAAGAGAGTATACCGCGCGCAGTTCACTGCAATCTCATCAAAAATCTAGTCAACAATTATCACGCAGAGATGATCCCACTTCGGGTTAAACGACTTGAAAGAAGTAACAGCGTCGGTAACGTACTCGGCGCTCTCATATACTAGTACCATGCTAGCGTGTTACCCCTGCATATTGTAAAACAAACACACACACACACCAAGGGTCCAAAGCGACGCAAAACATAATCCAAGGGAGCGGGGGGGGGCAGCACACATAAAAGCCACAAAGAGACAGAAAATGATACAAACAACCCACCCTACATTTCACTGACATGGCCAAAGATGCCATAGACCATGTAGCTAAATAACGTCGTTGGTGCTGTGGGTGGCATCGACCACCTCTGGAAAAGCCTCGAAGAATCGGGGCATTGACTCGTTTGGAAAGTGATTGTCTGTACCAGCTTCATGTCGTCCACTTAGACTGCAACAGTGTTGCCTTTATCGGAAAATAAATACCTAATGGAGCTGTACTGTATGGATTCCACAGTATTAGTTCCACACCGCGCACCGTATATATTGACAACCATGTTGTGTACGCCGCGCAAAGTGACCTGCTTCGCAACTAATCGGCAAAAATGCATACGCGTTAGTCCAATATCAATAAACAGTGCACGAGTTGAGCAAATACGTACCTGGCATTCTCCGACTCAAGAACCCTGCAATCAACTTTTTTTTCTCGCCAGCAGCAGGCAGTTCTTCCTCGAAATCTCAAACCTCGATACCTTTTACACGCCGGTTCAACGGGTGGCTAGCGGACGCCCGCCAGTCGGACCCAGGATTACCGAGTCGCCGTGGTAATGTTGTGCTGTGTGAGGT